CTGGGCCCTCACCTCTCAAGCTACCGCCGCAGTCGGGGACGCGCAAATATGGATTAGCGATCCATGCATTTGGCGAGCGGTCGCCAAATCCATGGATCGGGGGAAGTGCCCTCCCCAATGCGGCCGGTGCCGCCTCGTTCGGCGGCGGAAATCCGCGATTTCCCACGGAAACGGGACCCGTCGCTAATCCACGCCCCCTTGATCCATGTTTGCGATCGCCTGACTCAGGCAGTCAGCAAGAGTTGGGATCCTTCTGACCGTTTCCCATGGGTCCAAGACGGTGTGGGGGTGTCCGAGTGGGGGGGCTGGAATGGTGGCCGGAGGCACGGGCACTTGCGCGGACGACGGAGGAGGCCAAAAGACGTGTTGAAGGAAGAAGAGGGGGCCATGAAATCCGGGAGGATCTCATGGCCCTAGACATGATATCCTCCCCCCTCCTCGCAGTCATCCCCCCCCCAGGGCTCGACCAAAACGGTGTTGTTCGTGTTCGTCTTGTGTTCGCTCTCCCTCGTGTCTTCCATCCGTCCTTGCTGCAACACGAAGCCGATTCGAAAACGGCCCACGACATCGCCAACAGACCGTTTGGGTCGACCCCAGAGATCTCCCCCCCAGGAGAGACCAGAATCGAATCGATAAGTCGGATCGGCGATCGAACTGAATCGAATCGGCGGAAATCGGCAGCCCAGTCGGGACATGTCGAATCAGCGAAAATCGGCAGGCTAGTAGGCCTCCAGTGAGAAATCGGCACCGAGCTCGGAATCCCGAGTCGACTCGAGTCGGAATCGGAGGCCATCGAAGTCGAAGCCGAATCGAATGGGAGGAATCGGAACGAGCCCCCCGCCAGGTCACCGCCCCCCTCCTGGACGCCCCATGGCCCGGAGGCCACCGAAGTCGAATCGAATCGCAGGAATCGAAACGAGCCCCCCCCACCAAGTCATCTTTGGACGCCCGAAATGGGTACGGAAATAATGGGTACAATGCCCAACAACAAGTGCTGTTCCAAACCAACAGCGGCCGCTGTTGGGCGGGCGGCCTCCTGTCTCAAACGGACACAGGCCGCGGCGGCGTGGACAGCGAGTCCTGTTCAAAACGAACAAGATCCGCTGTTGGGCATTGTACCCATTCTTTCAGTACCCATTTCGTGCGTGCAAGTCATCGCCCCCCCCCCTCTCCTCCTCCTCCTCCTCCTCCTCCTCCTCCTCCTCCTCCTCCTCCTCCTCCTCCTCCTCCTCTCCTCCTCCTCCCCCTCCTCTCCTCCTCCTCCTCTCCTCCTCCTCCTCCTCTCCTCCTCTCCTCCTCCTCCTCCTCCTCCTCCTCCTCCTCCTCCTCCTCCTCCTCTCCTCCCCTCCTCCTCTCCTCCTCTCCTCCTCCTCCTCCTCCTCCTCCTCCTCCTCCTCCTCCTCCTCTCCTCCTCCTCTCCTCCGCCTCCTCCTCCTCCTCCTCCTCCTCCTCCCCTCCCCTCCTCCTCCTCCTCCTCCTCCTCCTCCTCCTCCTCTCCTCCTTCCCTCCTCCCTCCTCCTCCTCGCTCCTCCTCCTCCTCCTCCTCTCCTCTCCTCCTCCTCCTCCTCCTCCTCTCCTCCTCTCCTCCTCCTCCTCCCTCCTCCTCCTCCTCCTCCTCATCCTCCTTCCTCCTCCCTCCTCCTCCTCTCTCCTCCTCCTCCTTCCTCCTACCTCCTCCTCCTCCTCCTCCTCCGCCTCCTCCTCCCCTCCTCCTCCCCCTCCTCCTCCTCCTCCCTCCTCCTTCCTCACTCCTCCTCCCTCCCTCCTCTCCTCTCCTCCTCCTCCTCCCCTCCGCCTCCTCTCCTCCTCCTCCTCCTCCTCCTCCTCCTCTCCTCCTCTCGCCTTCCTCCTCACTCCTCCTCCTCCCCTCCTCCTCCTCCTCTCTCCTCCTCCTCCTCCTCCCCTCCTCTCCTCCTCCTCCTCCTCCTCCTCTCCTCCTCCTCCTCCTCCTCCTCCTCCTCCTGCCTCCTCCCCCCCTCCCCCCTCCTCTCAGCCTCCGCTCTGGCCCGCGGCGGGCCCCGCCCCCCCCCCCCACCACCACGCCCGGCTGCAGAGGAGAGCCCGAGCTGTGCAGAGGAGGGGGCGTCTTGAGCGCGAGGGCGCCGTCCACCCGAAGTCAGGAGGGGGCAGGAACTCCACCCCCGTATCGATCGCCCCGACAGGCAGAGCCATTTCGTGAACGCACCCAGGGGAAGGAATCGCACAGGGCAGGGCTGTCCAGTAAGCGCCCAGCGCTGTTGAGTAAGCGTCAATCGTCGGGTCCGGGTGGTTGCTCATCCCTTGAATCATGTGTGCCGGGTTTCCTCTGGGGCCCCTCCTTCGTCTTTTCTTGTCCTGCCCCAGGCCTATAGTCAACCCGTATGGTAAGGATGCGCGATGGGGATGCAAGGGTTTTGGACGCGGCCAACGAAAGTGGCCAAGGATGGACCGAGGAGGCAAGGATGCAAGGGTACCCTTGGGAAGGTTGCCCATCCTTATACGCGGGTTGACTGTAACTCTCGAAACGTGGCAAACAGAGAAGCCTGACGAAGCAAAGTACGGGGCGTGAAAACGACCACAGCCACTGCTGTTCTTTTGTTGCCGCCTTCCAGCCCGCAGAAACAAGCAGTGGTTGTGGTCATGTTCGTTGAGCTTGGCACCAGGGAAATGACCACAACCACTGCTTCTTTTTCGGCCGGCTGGAAGGCGGCGCAAACAAGAAGCAGTGGCTGTGGTCATTTTCCCGTCCCGCGCCAAGGGTAGAAACATAATCTCACACAGTAGCGTGTGAGGTTAATGTCAGGGCCGATGCCTCTGGAGAAAACGAAAACGAAAGTGTAGCCTGCACTTGCCCTCATTTAAGAAGAGCTTGAGACAGATAGAGAGCTGAGGATGCGGCGATCTGGAAGCATGCGCATCCCGGAAATCAGCACACTGCAGGCAGCTAACAAGTTGTAGTCTCGAGGTGGCTGGAAAACACCCTGTTAAGACCACGGGTACGTGCGCAACAGAGAGAGAGAGAGAGAGGGAGAAAGAGAGAGAGCACTCAAGCTGGCGCGGAGAAAGCTCCAAATCCGCAAGCTCGGCCCAATACAACCGAGCGGCGCGATCGTGGAACTGCCGACGGTGCGACAACGTCAAGGCAAGCCAGGCGTCGGGAAGGAGGAGGTTCGTTCGTCTTCGGATCGGACGTGATCTTGAGTTTGACTAAGGTTATCGCTCGCTCGGTCTCTCCTCCCAACATGCCGCATGGCTGGCGCATGTTCCGCGCCCCTTGGGGCTCTCTTCTTTTCCTTATCTTGACGCCGTTCCAATTCAGCAGCGCCAGCCAGGCTAATCTGCTTGTTGCACCGCTGAGTCGGCGTTATCTTTTTCATGCACGCTCCAGGCTCCCGCCGTAAGTTTGCGCAGCGTCAACAGGAGGCGGAGGAGACGGTAACGGTTGGGGTAGAAGAAGAAAAATGCCATAAACATAAACTTTTGGCGCTGCGTGCAGATTTCTTGGATCTGCGCTAGACCCTCCTCCCTGGCGCGCGAAGCGCGCCAATGGCGGCGCCGCCTGGGGGGGCCCAGCGCGGATCCGAGAAATCCGCGTGCTTCTTCTTCTTCGATGGGGGGCATGGAACTGCCAGCTGTGCAGCAGCACCACTGCTGGTCAGTCACACCCCGGGTCCTGGATCTTGCGCTCCTGGCACGACGCCGCCGCGTGCACTCGCATGCTCGGCGTCTCTCCGGGAGGGGGGAAGACCCAGGCCGTGGACGGCCCGACTGCTTCGGGCCGCGGGCACCTGGACCTCTCGAATGCCCTGCCCCTGGACTGGCCTGCCATCCTCGCACTTTGGTCGGAAGAAGCAGGTAAAAACATACAGTAGGAAGGCGGATAAAGTAGATTGGGTTCAGGCCCTCCCAGAGAATAGCAAAACACAGCAAAAGCATATCGATTCTCGAAGTAGGAAGGCGCTTGAAGTATACTGGGGCCTGGGAATCCAAAAATACCAACTTTCAGCGACCGGCGTGCAAGCCTTTCTTGACGGCCCTGGGGCCCGCAGGCTGGCCAGGAAGCCCAGAGGTGGGGCACAGTTCGGACGCGCACGTGTGCTTCGGGTCGCCAGGAGATCTGGGGAGGAGGGGGGCAATGGGGGCCTGCCCGACATCGGCGCCAGCGGGTGCAACAAGGAAACAAGTGGGCGCGCGCCGAGAAGCGCTCAGCGGCAGTTCCGCGGGCCCTCCTGCAGGCAAGGGCGTGGGCTATAGCGTCATGCGCCGACTCTCCCTCCCAGGCTGCGAACGCAAAAAGCGCGACAAGAGGGGGACCGGATGAAGGCCCGACAAAAAGCGAGCGAGGCGAGGGCCAGACTCGGCGGCGAGCCCAGGGGGAAGTGATGGAGGAGGAGGAGGAGGAGGAGGAGGAGGAGGAGAGAGGAGGAGAGGGGGAGGGGGGGAGGAGGGGGGGAGGCGGAGGAGAAAGGGGAGGAGGGGGAGGAGGGGGAGAGAGTGAGGAGGAGGAGGAGGAGGAGGAGGAGGAGGAGGAGGAGGAGAAGGAAGAGGAGGAGCGGGAGGGAGAGGAGGAGGAGGAGGAGGAGGAGGAGGAGAGGAGGAGGAGGAGGAGGAGGAGGAGGGTGGGTGGAGGAGGAGGGAGGAGGAGGAAGGAGCGGAGGAGGAGGAGGAGGAGGAGGAGGAGGAGGAGGGAGCAGGAGGAGGAGCATGAGGAGGGGGAGGGGGGGAGGGGGGAGGAGAGGAGCGGAGGAGGAGGAGGGAGGAGGAGAGGAGGAGGAGGAAGGAGGAGGGGGAGAGGAGGAGGAGGAGGAGAGAGAGCGGAGGAGAGGAGGAGGAGGAGGAGGACGAGGACGAGGCGGAGGAGAGAGGAGGAGGAGGAGGAGGCGGAGGAGGAGGAGGAGGAGGGGAGGAGGAGGAGGGGGAGGGGGAGGAGGAGGAGGAGGAGGAGGAGGAGGAGGAGGAGGAGGAGGAGGAGGAGAGAGGAGGAGGAGGAGGAGGAGGAGGAGGAGGAGGCGAAGGATGAGGGAGGAGGAGGAGGAGGAGGAGCAGGAGGAGGAGGAGGAGGAGAAGGAGGGGGAGGGAGAGGAGGAGGATGAGGAGGAGGAGGAGGAGCAGACCTTCGCAGAAGGCGGCGGGGCTTCTCAGAGCGCTCGCGACTTCCCGAGAGGTCGCCGAATGCCTACTGCGAAGGCAGAGGCGGCTTCTCAGGTCGGGTGGCTTCTCAGGAGCTCCGCCGTCTTCTGAGAAGTCCGGCCCCCACCAGAAGAACAAAACAAACATAAACAGAAACTCTTGAAGGTCCGCGCGGCTTTCTTGGATCTGGGCTGGACCTCCCTCTCCCTGGCGCGTGGAGCGCGCCAAGGGCGGCGCCAGAAGCGCCACCTGAGGGCCCAGCGCAGATCCAGGAAATCCGCGCGGACCGCCAACAGTTTATGCTCAGCGGCCTGGATCCATGGCATCGGGGCGCACGTGTGTACACACGCTTGCGGGTGCGCACTCGGGCGCGCGAGAGCCGCGGGGGGCTGGGCGAGGATGGGCGCAGCGCGCAGGGCGGCTCTCCTCCTCGTCCTCCTCCTCCAAATTCTCGCACTCTCCTCCTCCTCCTCCTCCTCCTCCTCCTCCTCCTCCTTCTCCTCCTCCCTCCTCCCTCCTTCCTCCTCCGTTCTCCTGCGTCTTCCTCCCTGCTCTTCCTTCTCCTCCTCGTGCTCGCCCTCGTGCTAGTCCTCGTTTTCGTCATCGTCCACGCCCTCGTCCTGTCCTCGAGAGGACGAGGACAGGGCGAGAATGGGCCCGCACCTCTGGGCCCTCCACATGCAGTCAGCCCATCTACAGTAGCTGCTCGACCACAAGAAACCTTCCACAAGAAACCCAACCCTGAGGCCCCAGGGCGTCCATCGATTTGTTTGGTGTGGGAACGTCACGTCTTCGAAAGCAAAGCCATCGAAACCCGAGAAACCCAGGGCACACTGGAGGCAAGCAAGGTGTTCCTTGGCATGGGTTTCCACTGTAGTGAGGATGCGCGGTACGGTCGGACCCGGGACAGAAAAACATCATTCAACAACATGAGAGCCTCCGCCGGCCAGAACATCCCAAACCATGGGATCACTCGAAGGTACCCCGCCCCCCAGGATGCACAAGAACATCCAGCAAGCACGAAGAACACCAGGGCACCCTCCCCGAACCGAAATCGGCATCATGCCTCGGTCCGATCGCGGGAAGGATGCGCGGTGAGGATGCCGGGGCCTCGGACGCCCGACGCCGAGGCTCTTCGAGCGGGGCTGGCCATCGGAAGTGGCTGAGAGATGGACCGAAGGCGGCCGAAGAGGCCAGGGTGCAGGAGGGGCTCCCCCTTTGGGACGTCGAGCAGCCTCGCTGTCAGGGTGGCCTTGCGTGGCGTGCGGCGCGGGGACTGCGCCGGTGGGCAGCGTCGGCGGCGGGTGGCGAGAACCTCAGAGAGGGCCCCCCGCCCCGAGGCCGGCCTCCCTCGCCGCGTGCGCGCCGCGGTTCGCGCCCCCGGAGGCCACGAGGCCTCGTGGGCTCCGCAGGACTCGCGCCCCCCGAGGCCGCGATGTCTGGCAGATCACAGCAGGCTCGCGCCCCCCAAAAGCCACAGCGCGCCAGGTCCGCGCGCCCGAGGCGACAGTCCCTCGCAGCTCACGCCAGATCGGCGCTTTCTCCATGCCGCTACTCCAGAGGTATCCTGAGTGGGGTCCGAGTAGATGGGGTCGGAGGATTGCACCGCATCGACGATGTATCGCCGATGCATCGCCGATGCATCGGCGATACGTCGGCGACGCATCGGCGACGTCGGCGTGGGGAAAATCGGGCCTCACATCGAGCATCGGCGATGCGGCGCGATCCTCCGACCCCATCTGGGAGGCCTATATGCTCACGCCCAGACCCGACGAGGGGCCACAGTGGCGGCATGGGCAACTACCTGGCCGCTGGGGCCGAGTCGTGTGCCCGTGGCCTGCTCTCCCTGGCGCCCAGTGGGGGTTGGCGGCGCGCAGAGGGGGGTAGGGGGAGGGGGGAAGGCTTCTTAGAAGCACCCCTGCTTCTTAGAAGGTGCGGGCCTTCTCTGTAGATGTAAGGCCCGCGCCTTCTAAGAAGCAGCCTCCTTCTAAAAAGCCTTCCCCCCTCCCCCTACCCCCTTCTGCTCGCCGCCAGGGGGGGAAGCGGCAGGGACACAGCAGGACCTGGGGCAGAAGAGCATGCTTCAAGACCATGGGGGGCCCTCCACCGGCCAAGACGCACAGAACATCCAAGGGTACCCTCCCCAGGGTGCACGAGAACACCCCTGCAAGCGCGAAGAACACGAGGGGAGACCCTCCCCGAATCGGCCCCGACCTTCTACCTCGGTCCGACCATGTGGACCGAACGTCGCTCGCCGAACGTCGAGGCCCCCGCCTTGCACTCCCGGCAAGGCTGGATGAGACGCCGACAAGCACACTTATCGGCAATGGACAAACCTCCCTTTAGTAAACCTCCCCTTAGTGAAAACGGCCTGGGACCGAAACCGACGGACCTGGACCCGCAAAAATGACGGCCGCGACGCCCTCTCGCGAACCGAAAACGGCCAATTCCTTAATCGACGTGTCAGGGTAGGAGGTCTAACCGCCCCCGAACTTACTGGCAATGTGCGACCCCCGTCACGACATGTTGCCGCTCAGGCGGCATGGTCGGAGAGCGCCTGCCACCGAGTGTGTGCTTGCCGTGGGATTTCTGAGCGCGCCCCCCCGGGGGGGGGGCACAGCTCACACAGTCTGAGCGCGTGTGGGAGATGCCGACAGGAGTCCTCCTCCTCCTCCTCCTGCTCCTCCTCGTCCTCCTCCTCCTCCTCGTCGTCCTCATGCAGACTCCTCCCTCAAACATCCTCGTCCTCCTTCTCCTCGTCCTCCTCCTCTTCATGCAGACTCCTCCCTCAAACATCCTCCTCCTCCTCCTCCTCCTCCTCTTCGTCCTCCTCCTCCTCCTCCTCCTCCTCCTCATGCAGACTCCTCCCCAAACATTCCTCCTGCTCCTTCTCCTCATTATGCAATCTCCTCCCTCAAACCTCCTCCTCCTCCTCCTCCTCGTCCTCCTCCTCCTCATGCAGACTCCTCCCTCAAACATCCTCCTCCTCCTCCTCCTCCTCCTCCTCCTCATCATGCAGACTCCTCCCTCAAACATCCACAGGCCCATCTTCTCTGACTGCGGACTCCTGGGCACCCGTGGCGCATGGGCGGTGCAGGAGAGGAGGAGAGGAGGAGAGAACACTGCCACCGCACCACTCTGGCTGCGCAGGGGCTGCCCCGCGGAAGCCAGGCGGTGTTCCCACGGAAGCTCGTCTGCGAATCGCGCTCGGATCCCAGACCCAAGCATTGCGCCCCCCGGACACGCAAAGCACACACTGGCCCTCGCGCTGCAAAGCTACCGATCTCGGCATCGCGCCGGACGCATCCCCGGCGCGAGACGACGCACTGCCGCTTCCAGTGATACGACGTGGTGCTCCGTCGAATCAGCTCGTCGAAAGCCAATGTTCGGTGTGCTGGAGCGGCACATGGCCCAGGCATCCGGGGGGGCATGCGCGGAAACGCCACGCCGAGACCAAGCCAGACGTTTGTCGCCCACGCTCCATTCAAACGCGCGTCGTGGCGGCCCGTGCGGTACGATTGACGGCACGGGCTACGGGAAACAGAGTTGCCGCTGGAACGATCTGCTCGGCGCCGCGCCCAAGGGGGGCACGGAGAGGGGCCTCCTCGGAAGGCGGCGGGGCTGCCCAGAAGCTCTCCAGGCTGCGGAGAAGACGCCCCCGTCTTCGGAGAATGCCCAGAGAGCTTCGCAGAAGGCCAGAGGGACCCTCTGATCCTTCTGAGAATGCCTGCCCCTCCTCCTCTTTCTCCGCCTCCTCCTCCTCCGCCTCCTCTTCCTCCTCCTCCTCCTCCTCCTCCTCCTCCTCCTCCTTCCCTTGCCTTCCCCCTGGGCGCGCAGCCGAAGTGTCATGACGAAGAAAGCAGACTGGGGAAACCGAAAGGTACCGATACTGCTTTACAACACCCCTCGAAATCAAACGCAAGTTTCTAACGCGGCCCACGGGGTCCGATATTTGTGCCTGCAGTCGCCAATCTCGGCGCGAGCATGGACATGTTGAGATCCTGGGGCGCCGCCACGTCGCGGGAAGAACTTGCGTTTGATTTCGAGGGGGGATGTACTCCCAGACCTTTCCCGGGGTGCGGTCTGGCCAGGACTTCGAGGCGAATCTGGCGGTGGCAACGAGGGCCTCCGAGGAGGCCGAAACAGGGGAAAACACGCGCGAAGGGCAGCGGTACCCATGTTTGATCCGCCCTCCCCCCCTCCCCACCAGATGGTATGGTGTCCAGCCCACCCGCCCCCGTGATGGGTGTCCACCCCCTGTGGTGTGCTGTGGTGTGGTGTGGTGGTTTGCGCACGCGCATGCGTGCGTACATGCGTGTCCCCCCGCACCCCCCCCCACCCCTGTGGGTGTGCCGTGGAGTGGTGGTGTGATAGTTTGCGCGCGTGCGTGGTTGCGTGCGTGCGTGTCCCCCCGACCCCTCAGTGGATGTGGCGTGGTGTGGTGTGCTGTGGTGTGGTGTGCTGTGGTGGTTTGCGTGCGTCCCCCCCCGTTGGGTGTGGTATGATGTGTTGCGTGGTGGTTGTGTGTGCATATGTGTGTGTGCGTGCGCGCGCGCTTGCGTGCGTGTCTCCAGCGTAGTCGTCAGCAGAGGCAAAGCCATCCTCGTGATCGTTCGCTGTCGTCGTCGCCGTCGTCGCAGTCGTCTTCGCAATCGTCGTCGCCGCCGTCGCCGCTGTCGTCGTCACCGCGTCGTCGTCGTCGTCGTCGTCGTCGTCGTCGTCGTCGTCGTCTTCGCAATCGTCGTCGCCGCCGTCGCCGCTATCGTCGTCACCGTGTCGTCGTCGCCGTCGTCGTCGTCGTCGTCGTCTTCGCAATCGTCGTCGCCGCCGTCGTCGTCGCCGTCGTCGCCGCTGTCGTCGTCGCCGTCGTCGTTGCCGTCGTCGCCGCCGCCCCCCACCCAACCATCGGGGGGGGAGGCGCCGTGGAAACCGTGGGGTCCATACCATCTGGGGGGGCGGGGGGGCGTGGGCACCCGACGCCCTGGATCATACCTCGGTGCCCTTTCTTCCTCCTCTGACAGACCTGCGCCACGGCCAAGCCTCTACGGAGCCGCCCGGCTGCCAGCTCCTGGTGCGCACGCACGGCCTCCCTGGCCCGCCAACGCGGCACCGGGGCCCGCTGCCCCCCCCCGATGGGCCCAGCTAGGCCCGCGGAGGTCTGGCGGCGGAGGCAGAGGAGGAGGAGGCAGAGGGGGAGGAGGAGGAGGAGGAGGAGGAGGAGGAGGAGGAGGACCCAGGCCAGAATAACGCCCCTCGAGAGCATGACAGGGAGCCCCCAGCTGGGCGCGCGCGCCAAAGCACGTACACGAACGCGGCCCCCTTGGTCCGCGAGGCCGGCGGCGTGGCACGAGCGTTCGCGCGGCGCATACTCTCGAAACCAACGTGGATTCGCGCACGTCTGACATGGGACCCCCCGCCGGCCAAAACGCACAGAAAATCCGAGCGCACCCTCCCCAGGACGCACGAAAGCGCCCGACAAACACGAAGAACATCAGGGCACCCGTCCCGAACCGACCTCGATCTTGTTCTTGGAGGGCTTTGGCCGCCTTGGGCCTTTCCTTGGGGCCTCTCGGGGTCCGCCCGGGAGCCTCGTGGGGCCACTTGGGGCTCTCTTGGGAGCCTCCAGGGGCCCTCCTGTGCCGAATTGGGGCCCTCCGGGGCCGCCAGCGGGGCCCTCTCGGGGGCCTCTCGGGCCATCTCGGGGTGCTCATTGGGGCCTCTTTGGGCCGTCCTGGGCTGCGCTTTGCCCGGAAGGGCAGGAATCCACAAGACCGACCAAACACCTCAGGGGCATCGACGTTTATGGCGGCCTCCTCGGGCCCTCTCGGGGGTCCTCTGAATGGCCTCTGGGACCGTCTTGGGGCCCTCTGAGACCGTCGCAAGGCCATCGTGGACAATCTCGGAGTGCTCTTGGGTGCTCTTGGCTCTCGTGGAGCGCTCTTGGGCCGTCTTGGAACCATCTTGGACCTCTGGGGCCGCCTTGGGGAGGGCGTGTTACGCCCAATCGTGCGCCCTACGCCCCTCCTCAGTTGTCTCTCTTCCTCCTCGCCTCCTTCTCCTTCTTGTCGGCCTCCTTGATGGCCCGGCGCTCCTCCGGCGTGCTGTTGCGCAGCACGCCGCGGCGCCGCGCCGCCAGCAGGGTCCGAGGGCTCGGCTTTGGCATCGCTGCCGCCGCGGCTCGGCCGGAGACCCTTGCAGTTTGAGCCGAAAACCTCCGGAACGCCCCCAGTCGGACTCGAACCGCCTACGCCCGGGTTCTGCCTCTCTGCCCAAACCGCGCGCCAAATGGGCCCGCTGCCCATTCCCCCGTTCCGGAATCGGTTTCCGAGGCGGCGCTGAAAAAAAGGCCATTCCAATACACATTTTTCTTTCGAAAATGCTGCTCGTCGTTGGGAACCTCTGTGTGAAAAAAATGCCACGCCTCTGTGAGCTCCCGAAGCCTTGGTGTTCAGAGCTTTTTACGTCACCGCTCGCTCTTGGGAGCGTGTTCAAAGCGTATCACATTACTGTGGGTTATTGGAAACCTTGATACTAAGAGCCGTTTACGGCAGCACCGCTCGCTCTTCGGAGACTTGGCGTTAAGAGTTTTTAACCACACCGCTCGCTATTGGGAGCCCTGGTGTTCAGAGTTTTTCACGCCACCGCTCGCTCTTGGGTCCCTTGGTGTTCAGAGTTGTTCACGCCACCGCTCGCTCTGGGGAGCCCTGGTGTTACGAGCTTGTCACGCCAATGTGAGCGCTTCGGAGCCTCTGTAACTTGGCGTCTGTGGGCCTTCTTGGGGTTCCTGTTGGGCCCCATGTTGGACCCTCTTGGGGCCCTCGTGGGCCGTCCTGGGACCCTCTTGGGCAGTCTTGGGCGTCTTGGAAGGCTTTCGCCGTCGTGGGGCTTTCTTTGGGGCCTCTTAGGGCCCTCTTGGGAGCCACTTGGGACCCACTTGGGGCTGTCCTGGGAGCCTCTATGGGCCCTCTTGACCGCGCCGCCTCGCCGATGCATCGGCGACGTCCGCCATGCATCGCTGCAGTCGGCATGGAGGAAGTCGGGCTCCACATCGAGTCGTATCGCCGATGCATCGACGATGCGGCGCGATCCTTCGACCCCATCGGCTCGGACCCGGACACACCGCCCCCCCAGCGTTGCCCCGGAGCGGGGGTCGCAGCGGGCGGTGGATATGGATGGACCTGTTGGCCCGAGGGGGCGCGAACACATCCGTGCCCACCGCCTGCCGAGGCCCCCGAAAATCTAGCGGGCGAAGAACGGCATGTGAGCTGAACTGTTCCGTCGCCGGCGGCGCTGCCCCAGGGCGGCTGGAAAGCTGATACCTTGACGTGCCATCGTAAGAATACAAACTCTCCAGCCGCCTTGGGACAGGTGCCCCCGACTGCCCCCCAAAAAGTCTCTGTTGTACCGCACTTCGCCCGTGAAAAGATCCCCCAGGGCGGTGGTTGTGGAGGAGTCCCGCGCCTCGGACCGAGGTGCAGCACGGCCCCGCGACCCCTCGGGCGCGCAGGGAGGCCGTGCACTTCGGGAGAGCGGCGCGCCCGGGCTCCTCCGGCGGCTCGCCCTCTGTGGAGAGGCTCCCCTCCTCGCGCGTGCTCCGTCGGCCCGGCGTCGCAGGGCCTCGGGGCCGGGACGCAGAGGCCCGCCCGCCTCGGTCGTGCGCGGTGATGCAGAGGGCGCAGGTCGCAGCGAGCACAGCAAGGGCCCAATCATCGCCAAACGGCAAGGGGTCGAAGGCGCCACTCACGGTGCAGCTCGACGGGGGAGAGGAGATACGAGTGTGCCTGGGCTGGCTCCTCATTGTCGCCTTTCGCCTCGGTCCTCCTCACTCGCATCCTCCTCCTCCTCGTCCTCATTCTCCCTCCTTATCCTTCCTCCTCCTCCTCCTCCTCCTCCTCCTCCTCCTCCTCCTCCTCCTCCGCGCACGCCTTCCCCGCGCCTCGCCCCCTCCACGCCTCCAGGCCCCGCCCTGCAGCCCGCAAAAGGAGGCGCGGCGGGGCTGGCCCCCCTCTGTGCCCAGAGGCCTCGGTAGGCCCGCCATCGCTCGGGCGCCCAAGGGCCATCAACTCGCCATCGCTCGGACGTTCATTCGTCCAGGGCTGGACCTAAACGTTGTTGCTCGTTTTGTTTCGTTTCAAGCTTCGTTTCACTCTACCTGTTTTCCTGTACCTCCCTCCCAGAACGAAAAACAAAACACAGCCGAAGTCCGGCAAAACAGCGTTTAGGTCCAGCCCTGTATTCGTCACCGTTTTCTTATACGACGGGTCGACATTGGGGGAAAGGGGGGGGAGGGGGGGACGAGTCTGGCTCTGGACCTCTGCTTGATGCGGCTGTTTGCAACAGTGCGTCCTCGGGGGAGACTCCACCTGCTCGAAACAGGCGCCAAAAACAGCCAACATCTACTCCATGGGCGGGGGGAGAGCGGGAGGGGTGCGAGGGTCCGCGCCGATCGGCAGAATAATGAATAGGAAAACGGTCACATTCCCCGTGCATGTTTCGGCTTCGAGCGTTTGGTTTTTGTTACTGCGATCCAAGATGCTCCTCGATGGTCCTCACCGAAGGAAGAAACGCACACGTCCGAGCGATGCCAAGTCGATGGGGCGGCCCGCGGCGGAGGGCTGTTCCTGGGGATGGGGTCGAGAGCTCGGGCGGACCGACGCCGCGTGAGAACCGCTGCGTTGGAGGCCTGGGGGGCGGAAGACGCGGATGGACCAGAGAGCAAACGACACC